CATTCTCTATAATCGACATTCTCTATAATTGTTTTATCTGTAAAAGTTTCTCTATAATTGATTTCTCTGTAATGGTTTCTCTGTAATGACGCGATACCAAAAAGTAAATGCAATCTAAAGTTGATCAAAAAGTAAAAAGTTAATCCAAGCAAACGATATTGTCTAGTATTAAATTGAATTCATTTTTATATGATAAAAAATAAAAAATTTTAAGATAACAATAACGGCAAATTAAATATAATTAAACTACGCTTATCAATAATCTAAGCGATGAGGTATTCGTAAAATTAAAATCCACAAGTTCTGAATCTGTAAGCGGAGTTGTTAAAGTATCTAGATATAAAAATATGGTATCTGTTTCTAGATAGATATTTTTTAAAGTATCCGTATCTAGATATTATCATAATGGTATCTGTAACTGTTTTAAGATACTTTTAAAATACATTTTGATATAATTTTATTTAACGCTTTTTTATATTATAAATAAAAATACTTGAATGCAAAATTTATTTTATTTCATATGAGCATATGATTTAAATATATATATATGTCGTTTTTTAAAGGGATCAGAACTATCGGGGATCACCACGGGTTTTAAAGGGATCCCTTTAAGAATTCAATTTTATAAAGGATAAAGAACACGGTATTATCACGTTTGAACCATGAATTGAAGAATCTTAATTTAAAAGGTGTTTTACACTCGTTTTGTTTTATTTTTTTTAAATTAATTGTAATTTATTTATTTTCAATGTTGTTTATTTGGCCTTATGAAATAAAATATGTCTAATATAGGGTATCAATCGATAGCTAATTAAAAAATCTATTCCCCCCTTAATGGGCGAGTCTATGTCTGGGGGGTCAGGAATATTTTTAACAAAATAAAATATCGATATGGGTATCAAATAATAGCTAATTTTAAAATCTTTTGAATGAAAGTCTTCATTCTTGGTCTTGATGGGTATAAATTGGTCTGGGGGTAGATGGAGAGGGGGGGGGGTGTAAAAAATAATTTTTTTTATATGGGTATCAAATAAAAGGTAATTAAAATATTTTTTTTATTGTAATAATAATAATTTCTCATACCGGACGAGTTTAGATCTTGAAGGGGGGAGGGGGGTCAGGAATATTTTTAACACAAAATAACTATAAGAGTATCAAATAAAAGCTAGTTTAAATATCTCTTGATTGTAATAATTATACTCTAAGTAGGTGGGAAATCTTAGGTGGTCAGGAATATTTATATAAACACAATATTGACATAGGAATCAAATAAAAGGTATTTTAAATATCTCTTGACTTAAACTCTTTATTATCTTAAAGGGTTGGACTTGTTCTGGGAAGGAAGGGGGGGGGGAGGGTAAAAATTTTTTATATGGGTATCAAATAAATAATAATTAAAAAATCTTTTGATTATATTAATTTTATCAGGCTAAGCGGACATCTTAAGATGTAATGTGTCATAGTTGGGAGAATTTGGATTGGGAGATTAGGAACCTAAATATAAAATAGAAATAAAATTAAATACTAAAATTGTAGTTTTGAATCCTTTATTAAATACTAATAATTAATTATAAGTTATATAAATTAATATAAAGAGAAAACATAAAAAAAATAAAATTAATTTAAGAAAAAGTAAAAGTAAAAAATTAAAAATTATATACGAAAAAAATAAGTAAAAGTTAAAAAGTTAAAAAAAATCTTTTAAATTATAAAAATTGTTTTTTTTATATAAAATCAACATCATCCGATTATAACATAATAAATTTCGTCTGATAATATTATTCAAAAATTTATATAAACCAAAATTATTTTTATAATAAACCAAATATCCTTTCTTAAATATTCATTTACATAGTCTGTTAAATTAAAGCAAATTGATTTACAATTACCATAAGAAGATGCACTTCTTGATGCTGTTATTATGGAGATGGTCTAATTGGTCAAATTGGTAAATTTAATTGATTTATGAACGTTCGTTGACCTAAACCCGCTCGGTATGAGGGATTATTATAATTACAATAAAAAATATATTTAAATTACCTTTTATTTGAAGCCCATATCAAAAAATTATTATTCTGCCCCCCCCCCTCCATTCACTCCCCAGACTAAGTCATGCCCATCAAGACAAAAAATGAACACTTTCAATCTAAAGATATTTAAATTAGCTTTTATTTGATACCCATATCGATATTTTGTGTTGATAAAAATATTCATGACCCTCCAAGACCTAGACACTCCCTCTATGAGTGATTATTATTACTACAATAGAAAAATATTTTAATTACCTTTTATTTGATAACACATATCAAAAAAAATTATTTTTCACACCCACAACCCTCCATCCACAAATAAATGGATAAAAATTTTAACAAAAAAAAACAATTAATACAGAGATTAGTTGATAAATTATCAAGGTTTTCAAATGATTGCAAACAAATAACCTGTGAAAAAAAAACAAATAATTTAATATCCGATTTTTTTTTCAGTACCCCCAGATATGAATGTTAATAATGATTTAAATCTTGATACTCAACAAATTTTAAATAATTTTTTCGAAAATGAATGTCGAGATTTTAGTATTTTTAAAGAATATCCTAATATAAAATTGTTATTCATTAAATATAACACCACGATCCCTTCAAGTGCCCCGGTATAAAATTTTTTAGTGTAGCTAAAAATGTCTTTACAGATAAACGAGAATGCCATGACCAAAATTTTGAAAATATTTTATTACTGAACTCTAATAATTATTTATAATCATTTAATCTAATATTTTCATATATTTTTAAAATATTATATTATTATATTAAAATCTAAAAATTATTATTTTAATTATATTTTGATAAACGTGATATCGAGTCAATAAATTTTTTAGCTTATTTCGTGAATTTGTTTATGCAAACCTTATAAAAGAGTATAATAAAAATTGTATCTGTATCAAGATACATTTAAAAAATGCATCATCTAGATAACTTTTTAGACTATATATCTGTATCTAGATCCATTCAAAAGTATCTTTTAACAACTCTGAAACTAAGTAATGATTGTCAATATAAAATTGAAATTTATTTATTTTGCAATAAAAAATTTTACTCAAGTGGGTGCTAAACTGCTTGTAAAATGTATAACATTTTTAAAAAATCGGGTTTTAACCGAATAAGAGCTTTGGTTAATAAAACAGTATGCCCACCTTTTGGAAATAGTTATAAACCGATAGTGTCAATCTTTTCCACTTCACATGGGACAAATGGAAAGTTTTAGAAATATTGGTTTCGAACCGGGGGTGAAAGTTTTGGATCGAATCTATTAAATATAATTTTAAAAATGCATAAAATATTTAATATAAATGTCAAATATATCATGGTAAATGTTGAATTCAATATTTTTATTTTGTATATATATAGAGAAATATAAAACAACTATAAAATATGATTTAAAATATAAATTATAATATATTTAATCTAATAGTATATAACAATAATTCTTTTTTTACATTTTCGTCTGATAAGGAAGATCGTAGTTAAATTGGAATTTGCTATATAAAAAAGCTGTTGGGAGCTAAGATGTGATTACCCGTGTTAATTAATGAATAAAGATGTTATTTCAAGGAATTTATTTAAAATATTTCATTTTTATCTTTTGATTTATTTTGATAAACAACTCTGATTTTAAATTGTCAACTAATTTAACATAGAAAAAAATGAAATTCCAAAATTGACATTTTGTCCCACTCTTTCGATTATAGGGTTATCTACTGATTTCTATAAATATGATTTAAGTAAATATCTTGGAAAAAGATAGACAGATTATTTTAATTTCTTTAGGAAAATGAGTTTTAAAATAAAAGTTTTAACTTTTTTAAATTGAATGAACATAAAAACGAAAACGTTCGTCAAGAAAAATCGAATATTCTATTCAAAATTTATCAAAACTTAAGGAACGTTGGTCACCTATTTTTTCAAAAAAAGAATTATATTTACGATTCTCTTCAATTTGATGCCTTCATTTACAACACTACTACTATCGCCGGAGTGGCCTAGTGGGTTATGATGTAGGCTTGGAAACAGAAGGTCCCAGGTTCGATCCTGGTAAGGAACGTAAAAATTTCCGGTTTTTCTTCGATGAATGATGTGTAAAGACATATGTATGGTAAGATAAATTTCGGAGCTTAGAGATGACACCCTGGTCACCGACAGTCTTGGACAGCCGGGTGCTAAGGATACTTGTCTAATAAACAAAAATGAAGGACACCAATTAAAATATGAATATGAAAGGTAAGACAAGAGAATTGACATCAATGTTGAACAAGAGAAAAGTTGATATAGCGTGCATACAAGAGACGAAATGGAAAGGTCAGAAGACTTTAATGATTGGAGATGGGTATTAATTGTACTATAATGGAATTGTTAGCAATAGGAACGGTGTCGGCATCATCCTCAGTCAAGATCTAACCTCCTTAATAGCAGATGTCAACAGGATCTCAAATAGACTAATGAAGATAAAACTCTGCATTGGTCAATCAATACTACACATCTTTTTAGTATATGCCCCACTAACGGGTTGCAAAGAAGAGGATAAAGATTACTTTAGAGCTATCCTTGATGAAGCTGTAATGGAAATCCCATGCGCATGTGGGAAAAGCAAGAGACAGCTACAAAAGGCATCATGGTGGTTTTGGATATGGGGAAAGAAATGATGAAGGAGAGCATGTACTGAAATTTGCGCAAGCCTTCGACCTTGCCTTAACCAACGCCTACTATAGGAAAAAGAACAGTCATTTAATAACATATACCGCTTATCTCTCGCAGAAGATAAAAGATGTAATAGACTGCAAAGTCATCCCAGTAGAAGATATTGCCGCGCAACACAAGTAGTCATGGATTTACACATCGCAATTAAATCAACTTCAAATAAGATAAAATAGATTAAAATCAATGACAGATGCCTTTGCAATCAATGCAAACATTAAAACAATAGATTCCTCACAAGTCAGTGAAAAAATGTGGACAGACCTTTCATCCAGATTAATAGACACTGCCAAATCGACACTAGGCTTGACAAGGGGAGGCAACAAACCATACAAAGAACTATGGTGGTGGAATGAAGAGGTAAAAACCACTATACAGGAGAAAAAAGCCCTTTATAAAATATGGTACAAATCCAAAAACCCAGATGACAAGACAAGATATAAAAAATCCAAGAGAATAGCTACAAAGGCGGTGGCTAGGGCCAAATCTATGGCATACGATGACATGTACGAAGAACTACATACCAAAATTGCGAGAAAGGGATATAAACGGAGCTCCGAAAGTAATCAAGAATAAAGATGGGAAATTGATAATAAAGGAAAAAGAAATGAATAGATGGAAAGTATTTTCAGGAGCTTCTCAACTTTAATCCCCACATACTTCATCTAGATGAACACTCCCCATGTCAAAACCTTGTAAAACCAATAACAAAACAAGAAATAATCATATGTCTCAAGCAGAAAAACAACAAAGCTAGGGGTCCAAATGATATTCCAATAGAAAGCCTTAAAGCACTAGGAGATGATGGAATACATCTCACAAATCTGTACAATAAAATACTGGGAAATGAAGAGATCCCTCAAAAATGGAGGCAGAGCTATCTAGTTCCTATCTTCAAAAATAAAGGGGATCCACACAATTGTCAAAATTATAGGGGCATAAAATTAATGTCACACTGTCTTAAACTCTACGAAAATATAATAGATAAAAGGTTATGTGACATAATCCAAATAGGAGAGACTCAGTTTGGCTTTATGCCTGGAAGATCAACAACTGATGCTATCCATGTAATTAGGCAAATGAATGAAAAATACAGGGAAAAGAACAAAAAGCTACACATGGTTTCTCGATCTAGAAAAGGCTTTAGATAGAATCCCAAGAAAACTTATCAGGTGGGCGCTACGCCACAAAAAGGTTCCAGAAAAATATATAAGAATAATACAGAATATGTATATGGGCCATACAACAATGGTCCGTAGCACAACTGGTACTTCAACAGGCTTCACAATAGCCGAGGGAGTTCATCAAGGGTCGGCTTTCAGCCTACTTCTCTTCAAAATAGTAATAGATGTATTAGTACAGTCTATACCACAAACAGTCCCGTGGAGTATGATATTTGCAGATGATATTGTGATACTTGCCGAATCCAAGGATGAAATGAAAGAAAGATTAATGAGCTAGATAAATATCCTAGAAAAGCACAAACTAAAAGTAAATAGAGAAAAGACGGAGTATATGGTGATAGGAGGAGAACAGAGAGCATTGATATAAATGAATGGCAGATATCGTCAATTGAAAGCTGCAAATATTTGGACTCCACTATACAAACAAACGGCACAATAGAGAAAGAGATAAAGAGTAAAATTAATCAAGGGTGGTTAAAGTGGAGATCTTTATCTGGAGTGCTCTTTGGCAAAAGAATCCCACACAAATTGAAGGGGAAAATTTACAGTTCCATAGTACAACCAACTATTCTATATAGTTCGGAAACATGGCCAATCAAAGAATCAGACGAGAGAAGTCTACAAATTATGGAGATGAGAATGCTGAGGATGATTCAACGGTGAGAAGTACAAGAATACTAGGAAGTTTAAAGGTAGTGCCCATTAAGACTAAGATAATGGTAAACAGACTTAGGTGGTATGGGCATACAATGAGAAGGCCTATGAACTACAAAGGAAATAAGGTTGAGGTTGGAAGTGATGGGTAAACGTAGAGGAAGGCCAAAACTTCAATGGGGCCATAAAGTTAGAGCCAATATGAAGAAGCATAAATTAGATAAAAGAGATAGTATGAATAACATAAAGTGGAGAGAGATATTGAAGGAGCTTACCACCAGAAAAGGTGAAAGCTAAAGAGGAAAAGAAAAAAAAATTTGACAACACTACTACTATGTTTATGCAGTATATAGTGAAGTATAAATAATTTTTAGAAAATGACTTAATTATTAAGTAATTTGTATAACTTATATAAAATATTTATTTTTAAATTACAAAGTATTTTTAAATGTATAAGAAACAAAATTTGGTGACCCTTAAAATAGTCTTATTTGGGCACGGCTGCCCCACCTGCTATGCCATCTGTATGGGCCTCTAACAACCAATTTAAATAACTAAGAATAAATAATAGCGTCATAGTCAATTTTAAATACGTATGGCATCCTAATTATCGAGAATATATATTATGTGAATTCAATAATAAACGCTATTTTTGAAATATATCTTTAAATCAGATTCAGAATAAGATTTAAAAAAATAGATTGAAAGATTTATTCAATGATAAAATTTTCTTTAATCTTAATAAAGTTATATAATAATTTTCTAGCTTAAAATTGGTTCAGGAAATAATTAAATAGGTAATAATTTATGCCCACCTTGTCCCATTACTTTTCCTCAAAGTCATATTTATAATCATCGCGCGATAGAAACTTAAGCCTTGAGATTATGTCAATTATTTAGTTCATTAAAAATAGTTAACCTTAATCCTAACTAGAAGTGGAAAATGCAGAAAATAAAAATTAATGACTAAATTTATCTCACATTAGGTATCTTTATTGTCAGATTAAGGTAAGAATAAGTGGGAAGTAGCTCCATGGAGTGATTAGTTTAGCAATTACTAGATTTGAGTTTTAAATTTTAGATTATAGTTAATACTTAATATACAAACAATTTGTTAATACGGTTCTAGCTATGCAATGCAGAGTACAACCTTGCAAATTAGATTTTTTCGGACCTAAGCCCATAGGATCAAAGTTTATATTCATTTATAGGCCAGATGCGTGCCCAAATTTTTATTTTAGGCCCAAGCCGTTTCGGTCTAAAATATTTTAGAGTTTAAATTTCTAACCAGGATTAATACAAAACAGAGGTCGGAGCAGGCCGGCCTATAAAAATTTTTGAAAAGGTTTTATTTTGTTTTGTTTGACTCATAATAATTTTTTTATGATAAAATTTTAATAATATTTAAATATTAACAAATTGTAATCATATAAATAACAATTTTTCGTTGTAAAAGAGATTTAACAATATTATAAATATATCTATGTTATATAACTATTTATTACATATACAACATGTAGCAAGATTAAATTTGTTATTGCTATAAAAATTCAAACATAATCCCATTAAAATTTTGACAAATTAGTTGGATTATTGATTTTTGCACAGTTGGAACCTTTAAATTTTTTTTATTTCGGATGATTAGGGTAAATGTCTAAATCCTCTTTAGTGTACATATTTATATTGTCGTAATAGCCTAAATTTGAGATGCTTATCATGTCGCTTCTTTCCTCAGTTGTGGGGATGGACATTATTTCCAAGGTCGGGGAGTCATCCTCCCTGTTGGAACACCCACTAACACTGTCGCCACCATTGTTATAGCTGGAACCTTCTTGTTTAGACATATTTCTTCTGTATTTTGCCCTCGCGTTTTGAAACCAAACCTAGTAGTAAAATAAGTAAAAATATTTGTCTTTTTGTGTGTTCACATTTTCTTTCTCACATCTTTATTTTGAGATTATTTAAAATTCTATTTCACTAACTACTTCTCTTTTAACTCATAGTATGAAAATTGGGGATTTAAATTATACAGGATGGAACGCAGTATCATCATTAGGGTAGGGCGCTCGAGGCCCCTGAAAAATTTGAAGAGCCCCCCTAAAAATTTTGAAATATTTTTTATACCCAAAAAAGGTCATTTTGAAAATGTTAGAAATCTTTGATTCAAAAAATTTATTGCCACTTTAGATTGTAAAGGCTAGTGACGTACCTGATGAAACGTAAAGCATCGCAGCATTTAATTAAAATTTAAAGATATTATAAAAAGTAGGCAATTCTACCAATGAGAAGAGTATGAGATGCAATATCTACATTAAAATTTTAAATCGGGTTTATGGATGAAAGGGAATAACAAAGGCGGTTTTTGCTAATTTGGACAATGTGTTATTTGGTAATTTTGATGATTCAAATTAAATAATATAAAAATTAATTAGATATAGTTTAAATTTATTGTATAATGAAATGATACAATAATAAGCCTTTAAATAATAATAAAAAATTATAAATTATTATCATTCAAACATCCACTTTCATCAAGAACATATTTAGCCTTAATAAACAAGCGCTCCACAGGAGAGCTTGATGGCAAAGGTTTTAAAATTTATATAATAAAAATATTAATTGAATCCTCATGAATATAAAAGTTATTAAAGGAAAGCGCATTTTGCGAAGAATTTCTCCTAAAGAAAGTACCAGTTTTATCTGTACAATCATTTGAATAAGCATCTGCATGTGATTGATCCTGCAGGATTTACAAATGGGTAATTAACCCTTTTTCCAACAGATTTTGCGGCCTATTGATATTAAGCTAATTAAGCTTAAATTTTGGGTGAATTGCTGCTATATGCAATTGTCCTCACACAGTGAAGGAAATCTAAATTATAGGAAATGATATTATTATATGGAACTAAGAAAAAGGTAAAATGTTCTCATTTATATCCATCACTTTAATAACTGTATGTGCATTATCATCTAGATTTATAGTAGACATTCATTAGTTATACTTAAAAACAATTTATAATATTTTTAATTCAATGATCAAATTTCTAACTGTTGTCTTAATAAAATTTCTGAGAAAAGTATGAGATATGGCGGAGAATACTAAAATATGATCGAGCTAGATTTTTTTAGAAAAAATAATTATTTATTTTATTTGTATATTATTAAGGTAGAAATATTTTTTTTAAAAGGATCTAATATTTAACAAAATAATCTCGATCAAGATCCTCAATTAAGAGAAGATCATAAATCCGGGTAAATTTCCAAAATTAGGATCAAATCCAGGATTGTCGATCTTTTGATCTCGATCCTTTAACAACAAACTCAGAATCTACTAAATAATTATTTTTAAGGGCGTTGGACTTAGTAGAAGTAAGAATGCTAAAAGTTGGACGCTGAGTAAATCTAAAAAAAATATAATAGAAATTAGATTGTGCATCATAAAAGAGAAGTTTAGATAGAGCCAAGCCAATTTATTTAGTAATTATAGGAATAAAAAAGATTTTTTAAAAAGCCTTGGGCATGGAAAAGGAGCAATGACAAGACCGGTATAAGACATCAATATTTCACTTTCTAAATATGCTAGGCCCAAATTTATTGACAATATTTTCTTACTTAAGTTGTGCTTTATTAATTTTTTTAAACAACTCTTCTAATAGGAAAATGTCTTCCAAATTTTTTTTGTATTCATCTAATAATTACAATACCTGTAAAACTCGTTTAGATAACCCTGTTTTTTGCGAGAGTTGTTTGAGATCCTTAGCATCTGGGTTATGATTTAGGGCGAAATAAGTCTTCATAGTCTTGAGTTGGTGATGTTTAAAAGATGTTCTAAGCCGTTTGCTTCTGATATGATGATGGTGGGCATGAGAAGCGGCGTTCAAGTGGGGCGGGAGTCCCATGAAAGAAGGGTGGAGCGAATGATAAAACTGATGATTGAGTCTATTGTTTAACTCTATCAAACTGCTGTTGGGACTTAAGTCGCTACTATGGTTTAAGCTACTGCCTGGCGTGGAGTCGTTATTTTTGGTTTTCTTTAGTAAGTCAGAGTAAGGGGAGTCTGATGTGAGTTCTGTGTAATGGTAATTTGCGCGTCTTTCACTCATTTCATAGAGGAGTAATTCCTTTTGATTGACCCCACCATCCGCGTGGCTTTGGATATCCTCAAAAGATTGAGATGAATGGGCGGCGTGAGAAGCTCTGAGATGAGGTGAATAAAAATCATTGACGTTAGCTGGTTCACTAGATGAATCAATGTTAAGCATTTCGCAATTATCATTTATCCCATCCTCTAAGCTTTCCTTGTCGTTTAAGTAACTGTCGATTACGGCTAATTGCCTCTGTTCAAAACCCCCTTTCCTGCATTTCATCTTATCGAAATAAGGAGAAGGGCTGTGTTCTTTGTAATCGGTGTAGTTAGAATTTCTTTCGAATTTTTTGCTTAAGGATGATAAGGGAGACGCCGCATTAATTATAACTTTACCAATTGGATCTCCTTTGGTTTCATTGTTTTCTTCATTTTCTGACTTCAAGCTTTGACATTTACTCCTCTCTCGTTTATCCTTCCTCTGGAATGTTTTAACGTTAGCTACTGTAGTAGTAACCTTTTTCTTTCTCGGTCTACCTTTAGTGTGACTCTGGATCACTTCTTTGTGCTTATACTTCTTATCGGACTTTAGGTTATTCAGTTTATAGTCCTCACTAATGATTGGGTTATGGTCCATCACATCTAGAAATGGGCTGTCACTGACATTTTGGGTAAGGAATGTATTTTTCAAAAAAGACTGCGTTACCTACAAAAAAAAATGAAATATATATATTTTTTTTAAAATGTATCGCTTCTTACTTTAAAATGTGTGTATATACTATATTTTAACTTAATATTCAAGTTATTTAAAGACTAGTTATTAGACAAAAATATAAAATTTATCTTATGCCTCAATCATTATAATTAAGTATAACCTTAAAAGAAATATTATGACTCTTCTTCAATACAGATATATGAATCCTTAAATTAAATTCTAAAACGGTTCTTTATTTTAAAAAATTATTATTTTCGAAGGATCACTTCTACAGGGGAACACTACTTTTAGAATCTATTTTATATGGATTTGAAGGACCAAAAACAGTGATAAATTTTGGTAGAAAACCTTCTTCATATAATAATAATTATATACCTATCTAAAAGATAAATAATATTTTTAAGACTGACTCGTTCTTCTCCACCTTCCAAGCTTATTTGTTTGTCCTCGTACGTCTTCGCAACCCAGGGTGTTTGATAGATATTCCCGATATTTCCTGTATTTTCCTTACTTTCGTCTTCAAAATGTACCTTTTCCTCTAATCGAGGAGGGCCGTGGACCATAAAATGGTTTTGGCACACTAGCAATTCTTCCTTTAACCCAAAGGGGTCCCCTGGATTGAGATCGGCACGGCATAACTGACATTTGAAACATTCTAAATGGTAAACCAAATGACGAGCACGCATGACTAACTCGTCAGGAAATATGATGGCATGGCAACTAGAACAGCTCTGGCATCGGTAATCCGTGTAGGAGGTGCTCGTCAGAAATTTAGCTCTCCAGTGGATTCTTTTTTCATTAAATAAAAATTTGATTAGCGAATTAGAGATTAAATACAGGTAAAAATGAATTTTTAAATAACGGAAACAGATATTTATTTTGAATTTTCAAAAAAATCTTTGTTTTTTAAATATTAAAAAATAATTGGTTTTTTAAAATCTACTTATCAAAATAGAAGCCGCCACAACTAATTTAATGAATTTTTATACGAATATTATTTGCTAAATCTATCGTATGAATTAAATCTATTTTAAATCTCAATATTGCCTATTTGGGTAAGCTTAACAATATGTCTTAACTCAAAAAATTAATTTTGAAAAAAAGGAAAAACGCGCTTTGATCGTGTCAACGCTCCAATTATTTCTAAACAGCTTTCTGCTTAGCCTTCTCTAGACAGCTTAAAAAGATAGGGGAAATTTAAATTTATGGAATCCGGATTTATTCGTTGTTTTATTTTTACCTAAAAAATATATAAATAACAAATAATATTTGTTTAATGTATGAATTAACTTAAAACAAACCAGAATAGGGTTGTAATAGCTCAAAAGTTTCAAAAATAATCCGAGCATTGACACGGCATTTTTAATTAGCTGTCCAAACTGATTTTTGAAACAAGTGTGAAAATATTTTTATTTTTTTAATTTTATAAGCGAGTTATCATATCGTCCCCTGAGGATTACAATATTCTATCTCCACATTTTGCAACTTTAAAGGAGAGCGTTTATAAAAAATTGTTTTCCTATTTTCAAAACGGTAAGAGCTAGAAATTTGGTTTTTTTATTATAGAGATCACACTGAAGATAATATATGAATCAATTTTCATATATATATCGCGAATATAGTTTTCCAGAAAATTGGAATATAATTTTCTAGATGTGGACATAGAATAAAATTTCTAAATCTAAGTTGTAAAACAAAATGTTTTCTATGCCCTGGAGATATAATATAAATGTATAAAAGTCATAATTCAAAATTCATGTTTTATTATTCTATATCCAAGTAAAATTAGCATTTTTTTCTTAAATTTGTCTCCAAAAATAAATTTTAGCAGGTAATTTTTCAAATATTATTTATCGGTTTTATAATTAACATAATGTTTGAAGAAATTTAAAATGTAAAAAAATTTTTTAAATTATTTATCTATTATAGATAAAACATAAATTCTATCAAATTCTGGGAAAAATTTAAGCATTGACTTGAGGTATATTTATCCTTTTTTGGGATATAGAATAATATAATCCTAAACATATCATTTTAATTGGAATGTAGCTATGTTTTATCAATCCTTTTAGTTGGATAGATATAGATTTATATAATCCTTAATAAAACACTAAAAAAGCATATTACAATTTAATCCTGGGGATCCCTGGAAATCTAGATTCATTTTTAGCATTTTTATTGTTGGGATCGATAGTTCTGACCTTAAATATATATTTTGAAAAAAAAACAATTTTTTCAAAAAGTGGATATAGAATAGTATAATCATCACGCTAATCCATTTATAAATTAGTCCCATTCTGTCCTGGTCATTCATGACATAAAAATTCTCCTTCCCTTCTTATCTGCTTTATTTCATATATTTTTCTGTATAATTTTTGATCAAGGAGTCCCATGTTTCTAAACCTATTTTACAGATATTTATATGAATGCTAAAATTTAACCAGCAACTTGTCACTTTATGCTATATAAAAAAGGGGTATAAATTTTTATACACAATTAGATGTTTATGTTTAGTCAATCAGAAACTCGTGGCCCATGTGTCTACCACTGCCATTTGTAAATAAAATGTGTTTAAGAATTGTAATAAATAATGACACCATATGATATCCCCTTTATATTTTTTTTGTCTTTCTTTTCTACCTCTCTATTTACACAATTCGGCAGAATCTTTAGACATAGTAGCTGGCTGATTATGCGACATATTTTATCCTCATTATTTAAATTCGCCATATATAAATAATCTTTTAGCCACGCACAATTTTTTTTATTATCAAATCGGAATTTTTTTAAAAAATATATATAATATAATATTTAATGTTAATATTACTAATTATATTATCTTTTTAAATTTTTAATAAAAAAAATTCGATTTTTATACAAAAATGATAAACTATTATTTATTTTAATTACACTGCTTTTCCAATATATATCTTCTAAATACCCCCCCCCCCCCTCACTCTTACCATCCCGTCTACTTCAAATGATTCTATTCACCTGAAAACCACGTCCTATATAGAATATATTTTCTTCTTATTTTCAATAAACCTATTTGAATTTTTTTTTGAAATTTTTTTTTGTTTGCAGGTTGACACGCGACAATTACAGGTATTATTTATTGTTATTATTATTATATAAAAAAATGTTTTAAAAACATTCAAAATCTATTTTTTCATCTTGGTGATTTTTTTAATGGTTTTATAATAAAAATAAATTTATATAATATTTAATTTATTAAAATTTTTATTTTTTCCTCGATATAAATAGTTTTTCCTCGATATATTTTATTAATATTTCGAAATCGTTCATTTGAATTGAATTGATTTCGAAAAAAAAATATATAAACATATGTGATTTAAAATAAAATATTTTATAATAAAGTTATGTTTGTATTGCAATATGGTATGGGTCTTTTCTCTTTTTCCTCTCCCTTCCATGATGCTTCTTAAAAAAATTACATTATTATATTTTATATATATCTTCTGCCAAAATAAGTGGTAGTTGTAAATATTCCCTCAAACTTAGCTTTCTCTCTTTTATCATTCAGATAATTTCCCCCTTTCTCCACACTTTTAATAAGATTATGCGCTTTCTATAAAAATCAATAAATTTAACATTTTAACTATATATATTTTATTTTAAAACATTCCGAATATTAAAATGGATGTTAACAGAATTACTAAAAAAAAACCTAATATTACTACAATGGAGATGAATTTAATTATAAAATGAATACTGGTTATGTGAGGTTACTCATCAGTCCCCACCCTGAGTTAACTCCCTGAAATTTTAATGATGAAATTGTATCATACCCCAGTGCTATTGGTAACTAAGGTATCTCTCATTAATCTAATCTTTTTTTATCAAAAGGAAGTTTATTATAATTATATCATTTCTTCTCCCTATTCATCTATTTTCATATAATAATATTAGAATATTATATAACTTGTAATAATCTTGCTTGCAATACACTTGCCCATCTTTGCAGTAGCAACTGTTTTCGTTGTCGAGCGATTTGAAGCAAACGCAACATTTCAAACAGGTCAAATGCCATTTCAAATCTAGGGCCGATAGGAAGTATTTATTCACGATGCTGATTCCACACCCTGCGCAAGGAAACATTATCATATTACGATTTGCTTCTTATACCAGTTTTTATTTCCACCCTCGTAGTCGTAAAATATTCTAAGAGAATGAAGAAAGTTAACTAATTTAACATTATTTTTAACCTATGTATTTCTTTCCTTACTAACAAAATAGATTAACTTAACCCTAGCTTGTATAAACTCATCAGTATCAGTGGCATGACTATCTATTCTCATTAAAGAGCGTCAAAAAAAAAATCAGATTTAGACTTGTTGAGCACGATTATTATTGTACAAATCCGATCCAACTATACCTATCACATTATCTTTATAGTACATTGTTTTTAAATGTATAACTATATCATATATATAATATCATAAATTTTATTTTTCCATCCTCGGTATAAATCAAAGTTTATTGTAATGGGGAATATGGAGAAGGGTATTGAGTATCAATGAATTTATCATTCATATTTATTTTTATTATAAAATGAAGGGTGGGGGGGGGGGGGGTTGAAAAATTTAAAAAGGGAAAGGGAAAAAATTTACCCAATGTGCAAAGGGAAAGAAAGCTTGAAGGGGAAATTGATCACTTGGGTTTGCCCCTTCTTGTTTTATTTTATCTAACAGAACAATTTTTTCCATAATGTCATATTTAAGTCCCCGCACTGTCAGTACATGTGTTTAATATGTTATGTTAGTAGGTAATCATATTTTGCTTAAAATATATAACGTTAATTAATAATTAAATTTCATATGCATTAATTATACTTAATTACTACATTGTATTACCCTTTATACTTTATGGTATAATATAATAAAATTAATAAGGTCAAGTGGTTCGGCAATACAAATCTACCATCTTCTCTCAGCTAGCTAGCTTACTGTTAGATTTTACTTTTTTTTCTTATTATATATTTAAAAAAATTTTAGGGATGATTTTACATTGTAAAATCAAAAAAAAATGAAAGGAATATTATTCTTTAAGGCTTTTAAAATTTAGCCAGGTCTGCTCCAATGTTGTTAAACGTTCAATTTAGTCAATTTTTAATTAAGATTTTAGCCAAAATAATATTACGCAAGCCTCGACATTTCGTTGATAGATGTCAACCCCCAAACCTTTCTGCCATCTATGAGCAAAATCTGCAGGCTAGCGAATTATTTTTTGACTAAAATTTTTGGTTTAGCCATTTTAAAAAATGAGATGTTTAAATAATACTAGTCTGGTCAGGACGTCAATTGGAAAATAATAGCTGGCTCGATGCTCTGAACCGTTAATATTTATAATTATAGTAAAGCATATTTTGAAACACGATTAGATAAGATATAAATCATTAGGTTTATTCATATCGAAATTATTAATACTGCCGGAATTTTTTGGGTTACTAACTTCCGGGGTTCACTTTAGATCCTATCTTGAATAAGTTTTCTGTCAATGCGAAAATGAATGAATGATATATAAATTGATTTTCTTTTAATTCCCTATAAAGTTTGAGATACTGGCACGAAGTTTAGTTGTTTTTTTCGCTCTCTATTTTTGATATCAACCATCAAGGTCATTGAGATTTTAATGTTTTCGACTATACTAGTTAAGTGTTTAATTACGGGAAATAAGAAAAGAAAGAGTAGAAGAAATGAAAAGAAAGTGAAGAAAAGAAAATATGACTTTTTAACTTCCATGTTAGATTATTTTCCAAAAATTTTTTTAATCTAAAGCAGCCACCCATACTCCATTTTATTTTTCAAAAAATGAAAAACTATTTTAAAATTATTATCATAAATTTATTTTTTAACTTTTACAACTCAATTTAAAAAAAAATATTTAAAATTTTTTATATTTTTATATCATTATTTATATTTCTATGATTTTAAAACATTTATAAAAATTTACAAAAAATATATTTATTAGTCACGTGATTAATTAAAATTAATGAGGTCTGTTTTTTTTAAATACAAAGCTTAAAAGAGTAAGTTTCGATTTTATGAATAAGCAAGAGATGGGGGAAAGAAGCAATATTTTTATCGAAGGTAAATAAAGGAATATTTAAAATTTTTAAAAAATCGGTTCACAAAAAATATGGAATTAGTTCTATAATGATTTAAATGTCGTTTAAACATAATTCGAATATAAAAAAATGATGGTTAAAAATATTATATCAAACTTATGATGAAAAACCTGTTTTTTTAAACTGGGGGTGGGGAGTTATATTTATCATAAGAATTTTTTAAATTTAATTTAATATTTTTAAGCATATTTTTTTTTGTTCTGTTTTTCCCGCTGTCATTTCCTCGGTTTTTACACTTGGAAAAAAATAAGTTTTTTAAAATGTTTTACAAATATTTTTCGTTTTTTATATCATTTCAAATTGAGTTTTGACTTTATGACTTTACTAAAAGCGGGAGTTTCTTTTATACGCTTGATTTTCGCCTATTTTTGAAATGACGATCATTAAACATAACACTCGCATGACGATCAATTTAGACCCGCGTTATTATGAACCCAAAATATAGCGTTGGTATTGGGTAGCAACAAACAAAAATTGGGGAGAGACAAAGAGGGTAATTGCTCATTTGTTTCTCCAGTCTCCTCATCATTCATTTGGGCAAATTTAGTTAGTAATTATAAAATATATATAATTTTTAAGAATCTCACTCAATTATCTTCAATTTGATGTAAGAAAACCACTAAATAAATTTAGATAGACTCAAAGCAAGATAAATTATATAAAAATATTTTATATTATCATTTTATTGTAATTGAAATAATATGTCATAATTTATCATTTCTAATATGAGATCTTATTCTTCTTATAAAGGCTCGTCCAAACGAGGCAGGCTTGTGAGGCAGTTGCCCAAGGCCCCCAAAATCATAATATTTTATGGTTGGTTATATTTTGTTTCTTATGCATTTAAAAGTGAATGGTAATGTAAAAAGGTAATAAATATCACATAAATTATGTATAACGTAATTCAGTCATTTATTACAATTTATTTTGATATATTGCGTAAATATTACTTAATTATATTCTTCGCTATTTATTCACAAGAAAAACCTAGTTTGTTAATTCTATGATTTTTTTTATAAAGCTTAAGTGAATTTGAAAATAGTCTTTGAGTTCATTAGTGCTCTCTACAGCCAATGCATTAATATACGGCACCGTTAGTATAGTATAAGTAAGTTTTTGTATCTATCAAACATTGTACATAAGTAACTGATCCGATATTGATTTTGAGGAAAAGGTATATAATATATAAACATTGTCAAAGTATGATAATAGGTAAGAATTTGAAAAATCAATCGGCAATTGGAGAATGATCTATGTTAATTCGATCAGTTCACCAACTATACTGGTCTCTACCCAAATTTTATATATTAAAGAGTATGAATAAATAAAAGCATATTTTTAGAAGTGTATTAGACATATCTCCACCATAAGATGTTCATTTAAATTTGGAGCCCCTAACCTAAATTTTTGGGGGAAAAGTGGACTTAAACCCTAAAGATAATAAATATATGTATACTACAATCTATTCGCAAGGATTGAATGAGAAAGTATGATATCATAAATACTACATGAAAGTAAAACAATAGCAACTCTATTATCTTCTTTATCCCGCACTTACCTAGCCTTATCTGACTCTAATTTTACTACCGTTGATAATTTCACTACTTTTGGCTATTGTTAAAATTTCTGAATATCAAATAATTGAAGAGATAGTGGAAATGGCCACATCAAATGGATGACTAAATAAAAAACACTCAAACCCTTTAAAATATATGGATTTATTAATAAAAATGCAATGATATAAACTACGAAGTTAATGATAATATACTTGATTAAGTAAGAAATGAAGTAGAAAGATTTCTTTCAATAATTTGGATTTATTGAATAAACTATAATAGGAATAAATATTTTATTTGGAAAAACGAGACAAAATCTTCTATTTTACAACAAAACAATAACTTGTTGCATTTTTTTGACCAAAATATACATTTTTTTTATTTTTAATATAAAACACCTAAATTAGTATATTGGATGAATATAATTAAAATTAAATGTGGTACCGAATATCAGTGGGGGGGGGGGGTGAGTCCGAAGTAACTGCTTCTAAAAATTTTAATTTTTTTTTAAGATTTAATTCTTTTATTGTTTTACTACACCCATACCAAGTGATTTCTGGTTTATAATATCGGACTCGACCTCGTGATGTAGGGTCTTATTATTACATTTTAATAAATTTTGGTCGATGCTTAGCAAGTTAGATAGTTATCCGAGATTTCTTGTCATAAAATTATTTTTCCAATTTCAAAATATGCTCAAAAATATTAACTAAAAAAATATAAATGCTTAATTTTTTACGCATCAAGAATACCACTCAGTAATATTATCTTATTTGTTTAGATTTAAAATGTTAATTTATATTTATAAAAGCTGGCTATCATCATATATAGCGATTGTAAATTTTTTTATACTTTAAAATGCCTTGAAGGCAGCTTTGACAAATTTAAAGGATTCTAAAGATCCTGCCACTTCCACTATGGCTAGTGCTATAGTCTTTAGAATAAAAAAATTTGATTTTATTTTTGTGTTTAGGATAAAATATTGTTGATAACCTTGGCTCGTAGAAAATTGCAAACCATTTCGAAGGATATAGGGTTTGCAATAAATCAAATTCAATTGGCAAAAGATTGCCTGATTAATTTGAGAAGTATAATTTATCTTTTATTATTTTTTAATCCTAATAGATAATAACACTGAATTTTTGAATGTTTTTTAAAAGGCACAAGATTTTTTCAAGGAGAGAAATCTACCTTTTGATTTTGAAAGTTCTAGATTACAGTCCAAAAAGGAGAGGTATATATACTTTCTAATATTTTAATTTAGCTTTAAAACCAATGTGTTTATGCTGCACTTGATTTGATTATTATGCAGTTTAATGAAAGATTTAATATAAATCAATGAAATTTTTAAATCAAACAGTATTTTTTATACCAAAGGGAATGGCGGAAAAGTCAATCGTTAAAGATGACATAGAGGATATATGTGAATTTTACCATTTAAATACAAGTTAAATTTTTGAAGAAATTTTGAAGTTTCG